AAATTCAATTTCCATGGATATGTGAGATTTCATAACACTTTGAAGCAACTTTTGTTAAAGTTAAACTCATCATTCTATCAATGTGCAGAAGCCAGTACTTTTCCCTTGTTTTGTCTATCTGAAGGCCAAGCTACATGGCACTGTGGCAGCTGCTGATTGGAGGTCTCCATGCCTCCGCTCTATAATACACTTGCATTCTGTTGTTCGTGTTGTTTGTGCTGTCTCTACCATCGACAATAAAACATGTCTTCTGTCTGAATGAAAGACGCGATCCCAGACTATGTCATCTTCTTCAGATACATTAACAATACTTACCAGGGTTTCCTCCAGAGGGGGAATGCAATAACATTATTTTCATTGGGATACATCTGATCTGGCTCACTGTCTAATCTATAATCTAAAACATGATGATAGTAAAAAAATTACATAAAAACACCAAATCAGAAACTTCCATACAGGAATAATGTGTTCTGAATAGGAGTCTCCTCAGCTGAATAGCGGTTCTCTTTTTTGAGGTCTTGCAGATTTAGTTTTAAGCGTGATTTTCACTGTATATGAACTTGGTGTGTTCATCCTGATTGGCTAAGGAAGAACCAGTGTATTGTGTTCTGCGTCCTGATTGGCTAAGGGGTAATCTCTGTGCCGTGTTTCCTGTATCACAGCATTCAGCCTGACAAATGTAAATCCATGTCTGATTGCAGTGTGACTGTAAGTGTTGTATGCTAATTTTCTCCTTGACAAAACCGTGGACTAAACCCACAACATGGTTAGTGCTAAAAAGTTGAACTTCTGGACATGTTGCAACGATGACAGCAAAGAGGAGCACGGTGCGGAGCCCAGGCCTTTGACAGTCTACGTGAAATATCTTTAGTATGAAAACACAATGTGGGATAGAAATAAATTCACTGATCAAATTTATATAGAATATTTTAGCACTGGTCCACGGCCATATGGAACTGTATTAGACCTTCAATGATCAAGATGGCACTGCTTATAGTTTACCAGTCATGAAATCTGCACTTTGGTTTCAATATTACCCTTTCAAAAGACCTGGTGGCATACAGTTTATCTCAGTGGAAATGAGGCTCCAGAATTCATCGTTTAGAAACAGAGCGATTAAATGAATGGGCTCAGAACTTGTCAGATTGTCTCAACAATAAACAACAGGCTCTTCAACATTTCTGATCCACTTTTATGGATTATCTTCTCTAAAGAACTGCCTTCATCATCATCATCTCCGTCCGTAAAGGCAGATTAGCGGTGCGTTTTCTTTCGTGGCTTCTGCCACGTCTCCTGCGTTCCCCGCGGTTGTTTAACCCTGCTGCATTCACCCATATGCCCGGTGTTATGATCCCCCTGTCCCCTTCACCACGTCTCCTGTCTGGTGTTCGCAGAATGTTTCCACTGTGGCCGCACACCGCGGTAAAGAGGTCCGGCTTTTCGGAGTCAGCGGTAGAGAGGTCCGCACATTAAAAGCGGCCGCTTTATGTTAAAAAGTGCATTGTGGCGGCTCATTCCCACGTCTTCTCTTTCCAATGTTGCTGTAATTAACAGCATAAAGAGGCTATCCGCTTTTAATGGACGTAAACTGTGGCTGACTGTGGACTATTGTGGCGCGGACTCCTGTCACTAATAATGTCTGTATCTGCTTCACTGGAGACCTGCGTGTCTTCCTCCTCTGAATCTGAGTGAGCCAGTACCAAATACTTCTCTGATCTCTGGAGACCTCTGGCTCTGCTCTGGCGCGTGGGATGGCGGCCTCTACGGCCCTCCTCAGGGGGGCGTCGGTCGAGGACGTCTGCCGTGCGGCTTCTTGGGCATCGTCCTTTTCTTTCGTCCGGTCTTATCTTTGTGTCTGACCGGTCGGTGGCCCATTCCGTGCTGAGTGCAGCGGACTGAGTTAGACCGTTAGGTCCCTCCTCTGAGGGGGCCTTCGGTTGACTTTCCGCCCTGGTTCAGGAGCTCTTGGGAGAGGCGTCCTACAGGTGCGGTACTTATATGTGTGTTTTGGTCGGTCAGGTAGTCCACGTCAGGAGCTCTTGGGAGAGGCGTCCTGGGACTACGGGTGACCTACGGTCGGTGTTACGTGGGGGTATCCTTGGTAGGAGTGGCCCTGTGACACGCATTTGCTTCTTCTGCCCTGAGTCCTCTCACTGTGTGAGGGTCTTGCTCGGGCGGAGCTCCAATCACCCTTCGCTGGCCTGCTGGGAGTACATGTTCCTACGGCCTCCGCGTTGTGTCCCACTAGCGAAGTCCTAAGGGACGTAGCACCATGACGTAGAATTAATAGTTACCTAATGTAACTTAAGTTCTACGAATAGGTGCGTAGACCCTTAGCTACGAGCCCATCAGGCCAGCCCGGCTTGACAGAGTTCAAGAGGGGGTGTGCAGGGGCCTTTATAGAGGAGGGTGGCTGGTGATTGGAGCAAATTATTTTGATCTCTCTGGCGTGTGACCTGGGGGTCACGAGTGATATCCCACTAGCGAAGTCCTAAGGGACTACGCACCTATTCGTAGAACTTAAGTTACATTAGGTAACTATTAATTCTATGTATTTGAACTGATTCTGTTGTAAAAGTGAATTTCATGCCGCAAACCACTTGAAACGCTTAAAACGGGCCAGAAACATCATGAATTGCATACTGGCATCAAACAACTGTGATTCTATGTATTTGGACTGATTCTGTTGTAAAAGTGAATTTCATGCAGCAAACCACTTGAAACGCTTAAAACAGGCCAGAAACATCATGAATTGCATACTGGCATCCAACAACTGTGATTCTATGTATTTGAACTGATTCTGTTGTAAAAGTGAATTTCATGCAGCAAACCACTTGAAATGCTTAAAACAGGCCAGAAACATCATGAATTGCATACTGGCATCAAACATCTGTGATTCTATGCATAAGAACTGATTCCGTTGTAAAAGTGAATTTCATGCGGCAAACCACTTGAAACGCTTGTGGTTTGCTGCATGAAATTCACTTTTACAACAGAATCAGTTCAAATACATAGAATCACAGTTGTTGGCTGCCAGTATGCAATTCATGATGTTTATTGATCGAAGGGTGCACGGATTTTAAAAAATCCGTGCACCCTTCGATCATTAGTTATTCCGTTTCAAAATAAAATCAGAAAAACAAATTACGTGGTTGTTTTATTGTATTGTAATAAATTAAATTGGAAAATCAAAACATTCTAAATAAGATATTCACCCATTTCTTTGCTATGCAGTGGAAACAAACACTACTAAAACAACTTCCATTATTTTGTTTGATATGCTACCGGAAATGATGAGTGGTGAGAGACGGAAACAACTGCAAGCTGCACTCAACTCAATCGGGCATTCTCAAGGTGGTATGGCCGTAAGCACGGGGGTATGGAGCAGCGTGCCTCCTGACCCTGCTGCTGCGGTCCTCTCCTCCCCCAGAATGAGCGCTCTTGGGCGGATGGCAGGCGCGCGGTCACCCCGCCGGGTTCCAAGGGCCATAGTTTTCTGGTCCTTTGTCCCCCGTGCGTCAAATTCACGCCGCGGGTAGCCCGGGACCAGGGGAGTCCCTGGGTCCCACCCCCGTGTCTCTACCCCCTTGGGCTCGGCTTTGAGGAGCCCGGAAAGCGGGGCTTCCTTCCCCCGGGAATGAGCGCTCAGGCATGGGTCTGAGCGGGAGGACTCCCTGTCCCGGTGATAGCCCAGAACCGGAGGAGTGCGTGGGTGAAAACCCCGTGTCTCTAGCACCCCTGGTTCGTTTTTGACAAGCCCTGGAAGCCGAGCTTCTCCTCCCCCAAAATGAGCGCTCTTGGGCGGATGGCAGACGCGCGGTCCCCTGGTGGTTTTCAAGGGCCATAACTTTCTGGTCCTTTATCCCCCGCGTTTTTCCAAGGGACTCCCCTGGTCCCGGGCTACCCGCGGTGTGAATTTGACGCGCGGGGGACAAAGGACCAGAAAGTTATGGCCCTTGGAAACCACCGGGGTGACCGCGCGCCTGCCATCCGCCCATGAGCGCTCATTCTGGGGGAGGAGAGGACCGCAGCAGCAGGGTCAGGAGGCACGCTGCTCCATACCCCCGTGCTTACGGCCATACCACCTTGAGAATGCCCGATCTCGTCTGATCTCGGAAGCTTGGCAAGGTCGGGCCTGGTTAGTACTTGGATGGGAGACCGCCTGGGAATACTAGGTGCTGTAAGCATTTTGCCCCTGGAGCTCGGGCCTGGGGGCGAGCTCAACAACAGCGCGAGTTGTTGACGTGTAGTTGAGTTGCGTTGAGTGCAGCTTGCAGTTGTTTCCGTCTCTCACCACTTATCATTTCCGGTAGCATATCAAACAAAATAATGTAAGTTGTTTTAGTAGTGTTTGTTTCCACTGCATAGCAAAGAAATGGGTGAATATTTTATTTAGAATGTTTTGATTTTTCCAATTTAATTTAGAAAATGGAAAATGGAAACCGCCTGGGAATACCAGGTGCTGTAAGCATTTTGCCCCTGGAGCTCGGGCCTGGGGGCGAGCTTAACAACAGCGCGAGTTGTTGTCGTATATAAACAACCACGTAATTTGTTTTTCTGATTTTATTTTGAAACGGAATAACTAATGATCGAAGGGTACACGGATTCAAAAAGTCCCAGATTTCATTTTTAATCCTGGATGTCAGAAAAAAAAAATAGAATGAACGCAAGGTACACGGACCGTGTGGGAATTGTGTTTGAGGTAATCAATTAATGTGATGTTTTTTCTCTTGGAATTGTTCATTTTACTATGAACAAAATGTAACCCTCTATCAGAAATATCACACATTTTTCCAAACTCATGCTATTGAGAAAGCCTCCAGTCTAGCTTATCTGAGGCCGCTGCTTATTTGCATGCGGTGCTAATTCATTTGCATGTGGTTGCATGGTTTTACATAATCCTTAGGGGAAGAAGGAAGCAGCTCGGAGTGAAGCTTAACCTCACATCACCATGTTGTTGCTGTATTCACTCTGCTTGTAGCCTCTTTTTTCTGAGTGTGATGCAAGGAGCAGAGGAGGAGCAGGAGGATGCGGGACCCTCTTGTTCCTCTCAGGCCCCTGGGTTTGTGGAGGCCTTTATTGAAGTGCGCATTCACAAACTCCAGCAGCGGCAGTTCTTTCTGCAGAAGATGCAGCAGGTGATCCAGAGAGCACAGGACACCCAGCACGGTGAGACCTTTACTTCAAAGTGCTGCAAATACAATTCTCTCTGAAGATATGTTTTACAAGCAACATGCTAATGCCAATTAGTCTTAAATCAATCAAGTCTGTTTTTCTTCTTTTTATTAACCCAAAAACTTTGACTCTGCTGTCAAAATCAAACAAAAAAATTTGTATATAAGAAATATACTGTATACCTCCAGTAATAACAAAAAAAACCACATTAAACATACATTCAACAAAATTCAAATATTGTGCTACTTCAGGAGCAGTTTGTAAAAATGATTCAAGCTGCCAGTCTGACCCTGTTTCCAAGGCATCAACTTGGAAACAATAGGAAGAAATAGGTAGGGTTATTGGAAAACTCTAACATTGTTTATTGCCATTACAGCCTCTGTCTGAGTGGCGAGAGGGGCCGTGAGAGCCTATGTGACGCATAGACTGTAAATATTGTGACGTCAGCTTAAAGAGAGACTAAACACCAAATCAACTTTTTTTTAACTCATAAACTGCATAAGTATGTTTATTTTAGTGCTGTCTACATATCCTGGTCATTTTTTTTGACATTTTAGTTCAAATTAGATAAAATATCACTTTTGAGCCAAAAAACGCTGTGTGGTGCCCTCTCAATCTTTTTGGTGGTACTACATTTGAATTTGGTTCTGGCCTCTCCATTGACTCTGAAGTTCTCTATGACATCAGTTGTTTTGTGTGACGTCAGTCTGTCAGAGCCAGTGATGTGAACCCATTCAACTCTCACACACGCCCCAGCTGCAGTTTGGAGTATTCTGGCGCCATCTAGTGGATAAAAATTAAATTACATGAGTCATTCTGAGATTATTGAGTGTGATTAGGTTCAGGTGTGTAGCTTTACAATTATCTTAGTGTGTAAACAAGGGTGGAATGAGACTTTCTGGTCTGTAAACTATTGCTTTAAGCAGCAATGACAACTGTCTGTTTTTTTTTTTTGTGACAAGTGAGCTGTCAATCACAGCCCAGACCACGCCCAACTCTAAGCCCCCCTTCTTGTCCCTTGGTCCTCCAGGCAACGCCCTTTTTAGAAAAAAATTTCAAATCTTCATGTGGGCGGAGTAAGGCTGGGCACAGGTGTTTGACTAAACACGACTGCTAAAGAGCGACTGCTCTTTAAAGCTGCACTAACTGACTTTATTTTTGTATTCATTACGAAAATGCTATCCATGTCCATGCAGTGCATTGGGATATACGTCCTTTTGAAGAAAAAGTAGCGCAGATTTGTACTGGCATAACATAATATTTTAGATTGAGTTTTGATGAAACAAGGAAGAGAATGTGTTTCGGGTCGCAGATTGTGACCAATCACAGCGGACCACTAGCCCCCACTTTTGTAAGAAATCTACAGGTCCGTTAGCACAGACAGCTGAGTTAGCACAACAAGTGGCGGAGCTAACCTGAAGCTTCGTGTGTCTTCGTCACCGGTTACTGCTTACACAGCCATCCAAAAGAAAGTCTCGTTCCTCCGCGCTTCCCGGTTCTATCGTTCTATGGTCACGGCATCCACGTGCAAATCCATATCCATGGTTTATCCATATTGGAAGACGCTAGCTTCGTCAACAACAGTGGGTGTGTGTGGGGGGCGATAGCTTCGTGGGTGCGGGGAGGGGAGCAGAAAGAGCAAGGCCAGCGAGTCCGCGGCTTCAAAATCCCAAAGTCAGTTAGTGCAGCTTTAAGGTAGTGGGTGTGTGCTGTGGGTTCAAAGAGGGCACGTTTTTGCTATGGGTACGACAGCCAGAGCGGTGCGCGTCTGTGGGCGTAAAACCGTAAAACCCCATCTGACAACCTTGACCCTAACCCTTACCCTAAATGAGTAAATGAGTCTCATCAAAGCAACGACCCATCTTCAGAACATCATCCTTCTCGTGACGAGTCATTTATCAGCTGATGTGACTTCCTGAGTAGGCTTGGTCAGCCTGATCGACCTGACAGATCCTCAGACTGACCATGCCCTTTCTCGCACTGCGGTCTCTGGAGGAGGGCGTCCCATGTGTGCTTTAGGAGGAAGGCTCTCATCTTGGTTGATGCGGTTTTTGCCTCGCTTTCTGGTTTCAAATCACCTCCTTACAGCTCTGCCGCTGAAAAATGTTTCCACGGGTAACTTGTCTTTCAAAAGAACAAAAATAAAACAACTTCAGTTTCACAAAAGGTTTAGCCATTTATCTGTACTCCATAACAGGGGTGGGCGATATGGTCAAAAACAAATATCTAGATATTTTCCCCCACATCCCGATGAAAATAATGTAATAATATATATACAATTTTGATTGTCCCAGACTGCACCTTAAAGACAGGAAGAACACATCAAAAAAGGTTTGCTCAATAGTTTCTGAGATGTGTAACAAATAAAATGACATTGTTAAAAACTGGTTCTACTACAGTTATCTGGACAGAAGCACACAACAGACAAGGTAATTAGTTTATACTTGCATGCAACAAGGAGGAGATGCTTATCAACTGCCAGGGAGGCCTGAGTGTCCTAACTCAGCCCAAAAGCAAGTCCTGCCCGTTTGCTCTGCAGGCAACTTATTTATTTCAAAGTAGATAACACACCTTCACACATGGAAAAGCCCAAAACTAGGTGAAGTTACACATTAACCACTTGTTGGACAACATCTTGCAACATCATTTCACACAAAATACCCCAATGTGGACAATGTGGATAATTATTAGCTTTGGTTTCAACACATTCCAATGTAGGTCAAACGAAAAGTTGTCTGGACTATATTATATCTAGATTATATTCACATTAATTTTAATGAAAACCCAAACCATTCCATTATCAGACATAAACACGTTTAGAACAAACATTTGAAATAGTCTATCACAATTAATTTATACTGCATAATTCTCTTGGCGTGTAAGCAAATTTGTGACCTCTTTCCAATGTTTACTCCTTTTTCTAATGTGTGTGTTTACTAAATGAAGTGTTTTCTGTTGGGTACAACCTATTAAAGCCCTGCACGGGCCTATTATCTGGGCCCGAGCCCGGCCCTGGCCCGAGGTTGTGGCGCCTCAGCCCGGCCCGGCCCGATATGGTTTCTGAATTTTCAGGCCCAAAACCCGCATCAAGCCCGACAATTTTTATTTTTTTTTGCAACTTCCCATAACAATGTTTTAGCGTAGTATATAGTGCCGCGCACTGATATGAACGCAGACTTAGCTAGAGGGCGGAGTTATACATGGTAGTGATGTGTTGCAATGAGTTCTGTGTGTGCGGAGTGAACGGCCGCATCTGTATGATGCCCAGATGCCGCAACACACTTGTAAGTAACGCTATGTGCCGTCAATGACAACACTACACAGAACAACAAACACTACAGCGTGATAGAACGCTATATTCAGTGGGTGCGTTCGTAAATGTATTCTGCCGCTCTGAAAATGAAGAGCCCGGCCCGTGTCCGAGGTCATTATGCGGTCATCGGCCCGAAGCCCGGTCCTCGGGCTGTCGGGGCCCTCGGGCCAAGGGCTCAAGTGCAGGGCTCTACAACCTATACATTTTGTCAATGTGCTAGCTTGACCCGAAGTAGCATCAAAAAGATTGATGTACTGTAGTCTATAGAGGATCTAGGGGCCGAGACAGAAACGCTGGAGTTTAGTTGTCCACTTTTCTGCTGTCTGATTGGCTGCCGCACGTGCGTCTAGTCGTCGTACCCATTGCTTCTGCCGCAACACTATAACTATAACTATAAAAACTGTTTACATTCACCCACGTGCGGATTATACTATACAGCCCTACAGGATCTGAGCGAGATCCTTCACAAACATGAGTCTGCTCATCCTAACGCAGTCATCATTGTTGCTGGGGATTTCAATAAATGTAATTTAAAGACTGTACTCCCGAACTTTTACCAACATGTGACTCGAGCTACAAGAGGAGCACATGTTCTGGATCACTACTACAGTTACGTGAAGGGAGCTTACAGGTCCAGTCTCAGACCTCCTTTTGGAAAGTCTGACCACTCCTCTGTTCTCCTTCTTCCCTCATACACTCAGAGGAGCAGGGAACATAAACCAACTTCTCGCACTGTGCAGTGTTGGTCTGAGGAGGCTAGCATGAAGCTACAGGGGTGTTTTGATGCCACAGACTGGTCTGTGTTTCAGTCAGAGGACGTTAATGAATTCTGTGACGCTGTGTCTGGATACATACGCTTCTGTATTGACTGCTGTGTCCTACAGAAAGTCATTAAAGAACATTTTAGTCAAAACCCTTGGAAGTAAAACTGAAACTTCATGAGCGTTTCAATCAAATGATACAGCTGCTTACAAGTTATCCTGTTACTCATTGAAACGCTCTATTAAATCTGCAAAGCGCAGTTACGGGGACAGGTTAAAGGGTTATTTCAAGGAAGTTGACCCTCGGCGCATGTGGAACGGTATTAAAGCCATCACATCGTGGAAACCTAGTGCTGGGAAAATCGGATCTGTCGGCCAAGCTCTGCCAAACGAGCTTAACACGTTCTACTGTCGCCTTGAATCTGCTGATGCCTGTTCTACTGTATTTCCTGATTGTCTCAATCAAGGTGCCTTCACCGTGACTCAAGAGGATGTCAGGCGTGTCTTGTCCAGGACCACAGTCCGGAAAGCCCCAGGCCCGGACTGCATCCCTCCTCGTGTCCTGAAACTGTGCTCCGAGCAACTTGCCCCTGTGCTAACAGACATTTTTAACCTGTCGCTAAGGAACTGTACTGTGCCGAACTGCTTTAAAGAGTCGACCATCATTCCAGTTCCTAAGAAAACTTGGACTTCATTAAGTCCAACACGAGCCCTGCGAGTGTTGACCCGCTCCAGTTTGCTTACAGACAGAACAGGAGTGTGGAGTCCTTTGCTCTGAACTCTGTCTACAGTCACTTGGACCCTAGTAAATCTGTCGCGAGAATGTTTTTCATTGATTATAGCCTTGCTTTTAACTGCCTTGTCCCAGGTAAACTGATTGAAAAGCTCATGTCTCCCGGTTTAAGTGTTGCCATGTGTAAATGGATTTTTAGCTTTTTAACTGACAGATCTCAGAGAGTGAAAATCAATGACTGTTTTTCTGATGTTGCTTCTGTGAGGACTGGTTCTCCTCATGGATGTATTTTGAGTCCTTTACTTTTCACATTGTACACTCATAATTGTGTGTCTTCCTTTGACTCGAACCTGATCATTAAATATGCTGATGACACCACCATCATAGGTCTCATCAGCAATAATGATGAATCCTCTTATAGAGCAGAAATCCAAAATGTGGTTCAGTGGAGTAAAACTAACAACCTCTAGCTGAACGCATCGAAAACATGTGAACTGGTCTACGACTTCAGTCGTAACAGTTCTCACACTCCTGCTGCTATCGACAACTCCCAGGTGCAGATTGTAGAGGAGTGCACGTTTCTGGGTTTAACTCTGTCTAACGACCTGAAATGGGTTAAAAACACTGACCGAGTCGTTAAGAAAGCTCGTCAGCGTCTCTACTTCCTGCGGAAACATAGAGAATTTACCACTAACTCTAAGATTCTGCTTAACTTTTATCGCTGCACCATTGAGAGTTTACTTGTTGGTTCTGTGTCTGTGTGGTTTGGAAACATCACAGATGAAGGAAAGAGAGCTTTAAACAAGGTGCTCTGCTCTGTAAAGAGGACCGTGGGCTGTGAACTTCCTGTTCTGGAGGTTCTATATAAATCCAGACTTTTAAACAAAGCTCTTAGGATTGTCAATGACTCTTCTGGCCACCATGGAAAAGCCTTGTTCCAGCTTCTTCCCTCTGGCAGAAGATATCGTTCGCTGAGATGCAGGACATCTCGTTATGCTAACAATTTTTTTCCACAAGTTGTTATCAGTTTGAACAGAGAACTTTAATGATTTGCACTTGTTTTGGAACTGTTTTAGCCGATTGATTTCACAGTGACATTTGTTTACTGTTTTATTTGTTTTATTTCTGTACTTTTAATGTTTAATGTACTTTTGTGTTTTGTCTGTGCACACTGGTGACTTTTTGCTAATGTATTCCAATATGTTTTTTTTACTGCAAATGGCAAATAAACTGAATCTGAATCTTAACAGTGGAGACGATACACAAATTTAAACTGCATTTTATTAAAAAAGAATCGACAAGTGGCCGAAGTTCTGATCACCAAATTTCAGCTTCACAAATGAAACAAACATTAAAACCATAATGCAAACTAATACAATAATCTTTTACCAGTTTTAACCTAAATTTGATCAGTAGTAGAAGCCTGTCTCACTTTTTCAGGGTTAGGGTGAAGTCGTCAGATTCATGCAGCTAAAACCTGGTTTTGTCTTCCTGAAAATGGGAGACAAACAGGAAGTCACAAACTAGGAATTTGCATTGGCTCAAGGTGTAAAAAATTTGTAAGAGTAAAGGCGTGCATAAGAAATCACTAGGTACACACAATAGACATTTAGCAATGCAGTTCCAGGTGACAGTGCAAGGCAAACCTCCGTGATTTGTTGAGTTTCCAGTTTGAATTTGATATTTGCATTGTGCAGATGATGGAGATGTGAGTGAACTGGAGCTGGTGGAGAAGGAGTTGGAAGAGCTGATGAGACAGAAGCAGAGCCTGATCCCCCAGTCCCCCCTGTACACAGGCATGTCCCCTGCACTCTCCCACTCAATACAATATACATACTTTACAACGCTGTCTTATATGTCACTTAAAGGTACACTGTGTAATTTTTAATGCCATATAGCGTTTCTTTTCTTTTTTCATTTCATTTTATGTATTAGGCAGGAAAGATTTAAAACAAAATCGGGCCTGGCTCAGTACAAACTGATTTTCAGCAGGTTCCTGCTCTGCAGAACACACAAACACAGCATTAACATCACCACTCGACACAAAACATACTGTCACACATAAAAGAAGGAACACACTGGTGTGAGGCTATAGTGTCCGTCACTAGTGGTCACAACGATAGCTGTCCGTCAGATGTTTCAGCATAGTCTTTTTAAAAGGTCCAGGTGACTGTATGGTTCTTATGGTGAGGGGGATCTTGTTCCAGGCCCTGGTGAGCTCACAGAAGAATGAATTTTGTCCGTACGTGTTCCTGTGGTGAGGTATGGGTAAGATTTGGTTTGTGGTGGATCTGGTTGAACGCTCGGATCGAGAGCTGGGTCTTGGAACCAGAACAGACAGTGAGGCCGATGGGCAGTTGTTGAGCAGGTGGGAGTAGAGCTTAATCCCATGGCTCAGGGCGTAGTTCTGGAAAGTCAACTTGTTGAGACCTTATATCGCAGTCCAAGGTACTACAGAAGCCTTAGATAGAAAATGTTTCTTTGACAGTGCTCCTCAACTCTCAGTCATTCACCAGACTTCCAAGGAAAGAGCACAATAGTTTGATAAATGACAGGATCTCTCCAAACGTCTCGGGCACTTGACAGTCATGTGGAGGAGTGGATGTAAACAAGACCACGTTCAGACGCAGCACCCTGCACAGAGGCTGCACTGAGTTTTACCATGGATAATATATAATATATATAATATATATATATACACTAAAATATATAGTTTTACAGAGGATTAACGTCTGCGGGAGCTTACAACTACGATGATCAAAGAAGCAGGACATATACACAGCCAGAACACGGCTAAAAGCTCATGTTATTATTTGCATTAGCCACAACGCCCCATCTGCATCACGGTAAGAAAAATAGGACATTCACTCACGCTGCTGATAAAGTATTCTGGCGATTGTATTTTTGGGGATTCTGTGTGCTTTATTTGAGGCTTTGTCCCTGAATAAGTTTAGTTGAAACTTGTGACATAGTAGTTGAACTGCGCTCGGATCGGGTCTGAACATCCTGAGACTGTGTTGCAGATTCTGCCTCGTTTTCATTATTGTCAGTGTGAAAAAGTTTCTTATTGTTCACGTGTGAGTCTGCTGTGTACAGACTACACAATGCGCCTCCTGTTGTGTTAACGGTGTCTTTCTGTGCGTGTGGTTTGCGATGTTGACACTTTGCTGCTATGACGCCGGACTTCTGCATAATTATTTTTCTAAAAGATTGTTGTTCGGATCGTTCTTTTATATAACTGTGGTCCTCCATGGTTCCTTTTTCAAACATGTGAAGGCACGGGGAAAGCAACGTTATCAGTAGCTCATGTGAAACAAAAACGCAATTCTCGCATTCTTTTTGTCCCTTATCCACCACTGTATTTCAAGGTGGCGCATTGACACCGAGAGAACTCCTCTCTTGTGGACACTTATACAGTGATTTAGTCAGCCACCGATTGTGCAAGTTCTCCCACTTAGAATAATGACAAAGGTGTGTAATTTTCATCATAGGTACACTTCAACTGTGAGAGACAGAATGTGAAAAAAAATCCAGGAATTCACATTGTAGGATTTTTAAAGAATTTATTTGTAAATTATGGTGGAAAATAAGTATTTGGTGACTTCAAACAAGGAAGATCTCTGGCTCTCACAGACCTTCTGTCCTCCACTCGTTACCTGTATTAATGGCACCTGTTTGAACTCCTTATCTGTATAAAAGACACCTGTCCACAGCCTCAAACAGTCAGACTCCAAACTCCACTATGGCCAAGACCAAAGAGCTGTCGAAGGACACCAGGAAAAGAATTGTAGACCTGCACCACACTGGGAAGAGTGAATCTACAAAAGGCAAGCGGCTTGGTGCGAACAAATCAACTGTGGGAGCAATTATCAGAAAATGGAAGACATACAAGACCACTGATGATCTCCCTCGATCTGGGGCTCCACGCAATATCTCATCCCGTAGGGTCAAAATGATCATGAGAACGGTGATCAAAAATCCCAGAACCACACGGGGGGACCTGGTGAATGACCTGCAGAGAGCTGGGACCTAAGTAACAAAGGTTACCATCAGTAACACACTACGACGACAGGGAATCAAATCCCTGTCGTGTCCCCTGCTGAAGCCAGTGCATGTCCAGGCCCGTCTGAAGTTTGCCAGAGAGCACATGGATGATACAGCAGAGGATTGGGAGAATGTCATGTGGTCAGATGAAACTGCCCACCACAGTCTTGTGGTGGGCTCAAACCCAAGACCTTCAGACTCAAAGGCTCTACCAACTGTGCCACTGCCACCCTCTTAAACTTTTTTTTTAAAAATAATAATATTTAATGATTAATTGTGGCAAATGTGCTCAAATCTTTAAAAACCCCAACAGTGACTTCTCTGTTCTCAGTCACTATGGATATTTCCTCCACCAGTTCCATTATTGCCTGCAAGGTGGATCTAATGGACCTAAAGCCAAATTGAACGTCATTAATAATCTAAATTTTGCAGAGAAAGTTATCTAATCGTTCTACATGTAATTTTTCTAACATTTTGGAAAACTGTGACAGCAGTGAAATTGGTCTATAATTATTTAATAGATGTTTATCTATCGCGGATACAAGCGGTCGAAATGAGCTTCCTCCGCAGAGTGGCTGGGCGCTCCCTTAGAGATAGGGTGAGGAGCTCAGTCACACGGGAGGAGCTCGGAGTAGAGCCGCTGCTTCTCCACGTCGAGAGGAACCAGTTGAGGTGGCTCGGGCATCTGTTCAGGATGCCTCCTGGACGCCTTCCTGGGGAGGTGTTCCGGGCACGTCCCACCGGGAGGAGGCCCCGGGGAAGACCCAGGACACGCTGGAGAGACTATGTCTCTCAGCTGGCCTGGGAACGCCTTGGGGTCCCCCCGGACGAGCTGGAGGAGGTGTGTGTGGATAGGGAAGTCTGGGCGTCTCTGCTTAGACTGCTGCCCCCGCGACCCGGCAACGGATAAAGCGGAAGAAAATGGATGGATGGATGGATGTTTATCTCCACTCTTAAGGCGCATTTAGACCAAAAGCTTCAAAAAGCTTTTGACGTGCGTCAACTGACGCTGGGTCTGGTGTGAACGCCTTGATGCTTAAAGAGCGACTAAACACCAAATCAACTTTTTTCAACACATAAACTGCATAAGTATGTTTATTGTAGTGCTCTCTACATATCCTGTTTTTTTTTTTGACATCTTGGTTCAAATTAGATAAAATATCACTTTTGAGCCAAAAAACGTCTGTGTGGCGCCCTCTCAACCTTTTTGGTGGTACTACATTTGAATTTGGTCCTGGCCTCTCCATTGACTCTGAAGTTCTCTATGACATCAGTTGTTTTGTGTGACGTCAGTCTGTCAGAGCCAGTTCAACTCTCACACACGCCCCAGCTGCAGTTTGCAGTATTCTGGCGCCATCTAGTGGATTAAAATTTAATTACATGTGTAATTCTGAGATTATTGAGTGTAATTAGGTTCAGGTGAGTAGCTTTACAATTATCTTAGCGTGTAAACAAGGGTGGAATGAGACTTTCTGGTCTGTAAACTATTGCTTTAAGCAGCAATGACAACTGTCAGCTCACTTTTTTTGTGTGACAAGTGAGCTGTCAATCACAGCCCAGACCACGCCCAACTCTAAGCCCCCCTCCTTGTCCCTTAGTCCTCCAGGCAACGCCCTTTTTAGAGAAAATGTTCAAATCTTCATGTGGGCGGAGTTAGGCTGGGCACAGGTGTTTAGTTGCTCTTTAAAGCTCCTGACGCAAGTGACACTCCTGACGCCGGTGGGAGGAGCTTCTCTGTTGCCGGTCGTCAAGACAACGGTGGATTATCCAGAGAGCAGCGAGCCTTTATTTGTTATATAAAGCCAAACAACCTTGTTGTGGGGTTTCCACAGAACATGTTCTGGGTTCACCACAGACTTGAGAGGCTGCAGTGTTTGCAGAGTTTCACCCTTTACTCCAGGAGCTGCGTATGGATGACTTTCGCTTTCAGCGGTACTTCCCCATGTCACTCGCCCAGTTTGAGCTCCCCTCTGCCCGCAAAGAGCTCCCCTCTCCTCGCCTCTCTCTCGCATCTCCTCGCCTCTCTCTCGCCTCTCCCCACCTCTCCTCGCCTCTCGCTCGCCTCTGCCCACCTGGAGCTGCCTCGCTCTCGCTCTGAGCCAGACTCATCGTCAGCTTTTTCTTATATTAAATAAAATACTTGTACTTCACAGCATGTGTACACTGATTTTGTTACGTACTTATTAAGAACGTTACTATCATACAAATAATATTACTGATAATATTACTGACAATAAAACAGCAGCAGCTACATGACTTCTCTCCATGACAGAGACAGACCTGCTGCTGCTGCTGCTCCTCGTCTCCTGATTGGTTGAAGCCTGCGTCAAAGCTTCAAAAGCTGAGCTTTACTCAACTTCGGCGTCAAGGCGACGTGTCAAAAGCTTCAAGTGACGCGCGTATTACTCGCAACTTTTGAAGCTTTTGAAGCGCCAAGTGACGCCGGGCTTCACGCCATCATGTGACGAGCTTCACCATTCACTTTCAATGCAAACCTGAACGAAGTTAAGTCCGGTCTGAACGCGCCTTTAAAGATAGGGAAGACTTTTGCTGATGTATTTTTGATGGAAAGTTGCCGGGAAGAAAAGATTGATTACAAATATGCACGAATGGTGAAACAATGCCACTTAGAATGTCCTTTCTCAGCATTATGTCTAAGTTGAAGCAGTCTGGACGATTTTAATGACTTCATCTTCATCCACATATCTAACAAAAAATGAGTTTACATTTGATTAAATAATATCTAATCCTACAATTTCATTAGCACGCGTCGGCCCCACAGTTACAAAAACATCACTAAATGCATTTGCCACTTCTTTATTTGTTCAAATTAACCCATTTTGTTGGATTATCACTTGTTTCCCTTTCTTGATAATGCCATTGAGGACTTTCCAGGTACCCTGTATATATTTTTTGTGTTTTTCCAATTATTTATAGTGATATGTTTATTCATTAGATCTTATTGTGCTAATTAAGTTTATTATTCATTATTAATTATTAGGGGCGACAGTACCTCAGTTGGTCTTTGGACCCAATGGTCGTGGGTTCGAGCCCACCGCGACCCATGTCATCTGCTCCCACTGATGTCTGCTGTCGTTGTGTCCCTGGGCAAGACACTTGCCTGAAGCCCCCGCTGAAAAACCAAGGCCATCTCGTCGATGACGGAGAAGCCATTTTCCTGTGGACCCACCACTTGCAGGAGGATCAGCAAGGGACTGGTGCATTGAGACTTGGGTGGCAGCTCTGATTGCCACCCCCCGACCGAAAAAATGACTAATAAAGGGGTAGAAAATGACATGATTTTATATTTTTTTCCATAGTTCTTTATTTCACA